AGGGGGGGGTCCCCTTGAGCACGGAGTGCCCAGGCGAGGGGGGAGCCAAGCAGGGTGCTGCGGACCCGGGGAGGGATGGGTGCCACTGTTGTGCCACGCGCTGTTTACTGTTTGGGCTACAAAGCGGCTTTGTTCTTCTCCTCAGGACACTCTGAATAACAACTCTCTGGGGAAAAAGCACAGTTGGCAGGAGCGGGTGTCCCGGTCGTCGTCCCCTCTGAAAACGGGTGAGTTCTCAGGCTGTTGGCCAGGGGCAGGTCCTTGCACCCTTTCATGGCTCTCAAGCCTGGGGCAAATGGTACCGGAGCAGGAGGCTGGAGAAAACATCTCACATGGATGCAGGGTGCATGTCCATCTTGAGTTTGGGTGGCATCCCTGGCCACCTTCCCTGTCAGGGAGCATCACCCTCTGCGAGGCTGTCAACGCTGCTCTCCTTCCCCTCCAGGTGAGCAGACCCCTCCCCACGACCACGTTTGCCTGAGTGATGAGGTCAATCACCAAAACAGCACAACCTCCACCAAAGACCGGGGCACATCCACGGAGAGCCCGTGCCGGCGCACAGCAGCCACCCAGATGGCACCCGCCTGCGTCACCTCATCCCGGCCACCCGAGAAGCACCAGACCACCAGCCGACCCCCACCGCACGGTGCCAGCGTGGTGGTGGTGACGACGAGGGTCCCCGAGGCCCACCGGGACCGCATTCGCTACCAGACGGACGTGAGGCTGGAGGCCACAGAGGAGATCTACCTGACACCCGTGCAGAAGAACTCGGACCCACTGGAGACTGACAAGCCCTTCCTGTCTCAGTCCAGTGAGAATCGCATGTCCATCAGCTCCGACGTCGACACCTCTGGATATTCAGCCCTGGCGGGGAAAACCAACCCCTCCATCAGCGAGGAGGATGAGGTGCTGGACTACATGTCCTCCCCCGACAAGACGAACCTGTCCAGGGCTTCCTGTGGTGGTGGGAGCGGTGGCTCCCGGCCAGGGCACAACCTTCAGAGAGCCTCGGTGAGTTCGGACACCAGTGCCCTCTCCTACGACTCGGTGAAATACACGCTGGTGGTGGACGAGAACGTGCAGCTGGAGCTGGTCAGCCTCAAGCAGTGCTACTCGGGCTACAGCGACGAGAGCGACTCGGCCACCGTCTATGACAACTGCATCTCCTCGCCCTACGAGTCGGCCATCGGCGAGGAGTACGAGGAGGACGCGCTGAAGCACGACTCGGTCTGCCTCTCCGAGGACTCCACTCCTGAGGCGGACATCCACTTCTCCAAGAAGTTCCTCAACGTCTTCATGAGCGGCCGGGCACGCTCCTCCAGTGAGTGCTGGGCACCGGGGGGAGGTGGGCTGGTGGCCGCCTGCGTGGGCAGCCCTGCCCATCCCTGGTACAAGGCTGGGGGCATGCCCAGGAGATGGAAACCCACCACCAGCAGACACGAGCCCCAGTTCTGCTTGCTGCAGCCTGTGGCTTTGTCCTTGGTGGCCAGGGAGGCATGGGAGGGCTTGGAAAAGCCTTGCAAGCTGCAGGCAAGGGTGGGCGGAGGTGTTTCAGGCTGCTTTTTTTGGCTAGCCCGAGGTGTGGCCAAGCTGAGGGGGAGCTGAGTGGTCTCGCAGGGTGGACAGCATCTCCCTCCTGGAGTGTTACCCTCCTCCCCAAGCCCAGAGGAGCACCAGGGCTGGTGGCATGATCTGGCAGGCAGGGCTTCCCACGGTGTGGCTGGTCCCACAGTGCTGGTGGCACCAGCTGTCACTGCTGCGTGAATTGGCGTGGGGAGGTCGTGGTCCCAGCGGGGACCATCGTGGTGGCTGTAGCCCTGCCTTCCTCTCCTGTGGCACTGCGCGGCTTTGTCTCGGCCGAGCCATCCCCCGGCAGCCTGCCCGGCCCGTGTCCTTCCCTTGGCTGTGGTGCTGAGCCCTCAACGCTGAGACATCCCCCTCTGCCTTCATCCCCAGGTGCCGAGTCCTTCGGGTTGTTCTCCTGCGTGATCAACGGGGAGGAGCAGGAGCAGACCCACCGCGCCGTCTTTAGGTGAGCTTGCAGGTGCGAGCGGTGTCCCCAGCCTCTCGCAGGGGAACGCCATGGTGGGGCCAGCCCAAGCCCCAGTGTTTGCAGTGTAGGAAGCCCCAAGGACCAAACCACTGCCTGTAGCTCATGCCCTGCCCAGGAGCAACATCTGCCCAGGCTGCTGCAGGGGCAAGCTCCGAGGGCAGCCGGGACCTCTGGGGAGCAGCGTGGGTGGTGCGGTAGGGGATACCCTTGCCTTAGGTGCCAGGATGCTGCCGCCTTTTGAGCCTAAACCTGCTCGGATGCATTATTTAGTGTCTCAGGTCCCCGTGGCTAATTACACCAGCCAGGGTGGTGCCCGTCTGAGCCGGTGGTGGGGTTTGCCTTGCCCCCTGAGATGGCCGCCAGCACTGCTGGCCAGCCAAGTGCTAGTGCCTCCCTACCCAGGTTTGTGCCTCGCCATGCGGATGAGCTGGAGCTGGAGGTGGATGATCCTTTGCTGGTGGAGGTGCAGGCAGAAGATTACTGGTATGAGGCCTACAACATGCGGACGGGCGACCGGGGCATTTTTCCTGCCTACTACGCTATCGAAGTCACCAAGGACCCAGACCACGTAACAGGTACCAAGGCTTTGCGTGCAGCCTGCTGATGTCCCCCATCTTGTGTCCACCTCCTCTGTGCCGAGCGGAGGCTGGTGCTGAGCAGGGGGATGGAGGGAGGACCAAGCTGGGCACCCGTCAGGCAGCAATGGGCAGCTTCTGGTGTGATGCTGGGAGCTGATACCTGGTGTTGCAGGAAGCTTTCCCTGGGCAGGGAAATGTGCCAGGGTGGGAATATGGAGAGGGGAGGTAGAGCTCAGCCCACATGCCTGGTCATCCCGGTGGTGATCCTGGCCGTGTGCTCTCTCTTCCAGCTCTGGCCAAGAGCAGCGACTGGGTGGACCAGTTTCGGGTGAAGTTCCTTGGCTCCGTGCAGGTTCCCTATCACAAGGGCAACGACGTGCTGTGCGCGGCCATGCAGAAGGTAGTGTCCCACCCCATCCCTGGGAGCGGGAGCGCCCTGGTCCTCCTGGCAGCAGGGCAGAGCCTCGGTAGGGAAGGGAAGGGGTGAACCGTCATCACTGCTCACGAGTCCCAGGGCTTTGTCTCTCTGTCTTCTCCCCTAGATTGCCACCACGCGCCGCCTCACTGTGCACTTTAACCCACCCTCCAGCTGCGTCCTGGAGATCAGCATGCGTGGGGTCAAGATTGCCGTGAAAGCCGATGACTCCAAGGAGCACAGCAAGGTATTGTCCCGCTCCCCGCTCATCTCGTCCCTTCCCCGGCTGCTGCTCTGAGCTGGCTCGTGTGCTACAGGTCATGTTTGCGTATGAAAATCGAGGGTCTCCACCCCACATCTGAGGGGGGTGAGAAACACCATCAGCGGGGTTGTAGGCCCACCATCAGGGTCGTCCGTGCCGCACGGGGGTCCCAGCTTTGGGCCGTATCACCGGCTGATGCCCTCGCCCCTGCCAAGCGCGTTGGTGTGCCGGAGTGCTGTGAGCTGATCCGTACCGGTAATCGGTCAGCTGCTGCTAAACCTTTCTGCTGCTATTTTGGGTGGTGTCCTCCAGATCTGCCCTGTAATCTCTTTAGCTGGCTAGGGCAGGCTGCTGATTAGCGTTCTCCGTAAGTAGCCTAGCGAAGGACAGCGAGATGCTGGGCAGAGGCAAGCGAGGGCTTTGCAGCAAGCTGTTGGGAAACCTTCCCTGAGGGTCGAGGAGAGGGGTGGTTCGTGGCTTGGAGTGCTGTGACAGAGCTGGGCTGGCGGTTCTACAAGTCTTGCCTGTATCTAGAGGATGCCATCAACTTTTAGTTATTCTTTAAAAACCTATAAATAAATTCTCATTTCTGGCTGGGACCCTGCGAACAGCTACGCTTGAATGACTTATTTAGTTCTAAGCTATCCCCTCACCTTGTACCTGCTGGTATTTCTGGGAGCCTTTTTAGCGAGGGAGAAGGGCTGGGTGTGCAACAGCACCCTGGGGACAGGCACTTGGGACCATCATGAAACCGCTGCCGGTCGCAGCCCGGGATCAGGCTCCAATTCATTTCATGGCTTGGACCAAGTGCGTATTTCCAGGGGCCGGAGACTGGCTGCCCTGCAGGGTGATGGGGAGGAAAGCTTTTTGACAGTTTCTCTCTCTCTCTTTCCCCCAGGTAAACAAGTGTAGCCATTTTTTCCAGCTGAAGAACATTTCCTTTTGTGGGTACCATCCAAAGAACAACAAGTGAGTAGTAAGGAGGTGCAGGGTGGCTCTCAATGCCAGCAGCTTGTTGCGGAGGCTTGGCTGCCTTCCCACTCCCTGGGGACAGCAGGACTGGGGTGGGAAAGTGACGGGGAGGCTGCCCAGCACCCCGGTCCTGAGGGCTCCCCTTCTCCGTGAGCCCAGTGCTGCAGCTTCAAGCAAAAGCAGGTTTTGGATGAGAACTACATCCCAGAGCTGGGCATGGGCTGTGGCAGCTGGTGGCCACTCAGGTTTGGGGTCGGAGGGTGTTGCAGGTCCCAAACCCTTGCGCTCAAGGGTAGGGACACCTCGGGGATGCTGGGGTACCTGTGCCTGCTTGTCTGCTGGTCCACTCCCACCCACTCTCTCTGCCCTCAGATATTTTGGGTTCATCACCAAGCACCCTGCTGACCACAGATTTGCCTGTCACGTCTTTGTCTCGGAGGAGTCCACGAAGCCACTGGCGGAGTCCGTAGGGTGAGTCCTGGCTGGGCAGGGAAGGCTTGCTCCCCAACGGCCGGAGAAACGAGGCAGCTGGGCTCAGTCCTGCCATCTCCCTATACCTGTGGGGCTTGGGGCAAGAGCCAGAGCTGACAGGGCTACGGGCAACGTATTCCTGACGGCACTGGAACGAGTCCCAGCGCAAGGCTTTGCGGGCAGATGGCTGGAAATCCTGTGCTGCACAGGGAATCGGAGCAAGGATGGAGACCCTGCGGCTCTGATGGCAGCTCTGGGTGCTGACACGGGAGGGACAAGGGGCTGGGGGGGGGGTCAACCTGGCCCCGGGGCAGGGAGGGAGGGTGAGAATGGAAGCGGGGCTCCGTAAATGCCTCGGGGGGGAAGGATGCTGCTCAGCTTTGCCCGGTGCTGTGTTGCAGGAGAGCTTTTCAGCAATTCTACAAGGAGTATGTGGAGTACACGTGCCCCACGGAGGACATCTACCTGGAGTAGGGGCTGGCACAGGCACCTCCTGCCCAGCCAGGGCTGCAGACTCGCCCCTTCCCCCGGCCGTGCATGGACAAGAGCTGCTTTGAGCCTGGAAGAGGAGCGGGCCCGGGGCAGGGCTCCCCGGGGCCTGGAGCGATGCCTCTTTTCGTGACTTCCCTT